AATATATTTTCACAATACTTTTTTTTCTATATGCTGTTCCACTGGATTTGGTGCATGACTACCTCTCTAGCCCCAAATACTTTCATCCTTTGCTTTAGTAGGAATCAATGTATATATTTTCCGTATATGCACATTTCTTATGAAAGCTGCTTTGATTTTTTGAGGCTTAATATTTCCCTGCTCTTAAGAGTTCCATCAGCTCTGATGACTCCCTTTTCAACACGAAAGAATTAAATATTCTGTTGAACAAAATAGAAAATCCTTGACTAAGTAATGGTTTTGAGATGTTACTATTAACTTGGTATGTCTCTATTTGAAATGTTCGCCTGCAGTAACTTAAAGATTTCTTTCAATGCATTTTTTTCAGTGTATACGCCAAAGCCACCTAATTTTTCAAACTTACTTGTATGATTAAAAAATACAGATTACTGCACTTGGCGTTATTCATTTGAGTTCAAGGGAAGGAAGTTTTGCACTCCAGTTTTTTTTTCTGCATGAGAGTAGGTATCTGGTCACCAAAGAAAAAGCATTAGAAATGTTGAAAATATCAGTTATAACTTGAAAACTTCAGAGTAATGGTGCCAGAAGATGTACGGATGTAGTCCAGATTCTCTTGTGCTCTGATTGAGTGCAAAGTGAGTTTAGCTCTATACCATCATTCTAAAGGAGCTTTTGGTTGTCTGGATTAGTCATAGTTGTTTTACTCTCCACATATGGCAGTGTAAAATGCCCCCTTTAAAGGCTGTGCATCAGTAAGGCATTTCAGCTTTTAGTGAACAAAGCAAGTCAAAGTGGAACAGATCTTTCAAGAAGTGTCAACCGCTCCACGCAGCTTGATGTCATCAGCAGACTTGTTGGAGTTGTGTTTGATCCCACTGTCCATATTGCTGACAAAGATGTTGAACAGCACTGGTCCCAGTAGTGACTCCTGAGGAAAATCCTTGTCACTGATCTCCACTTGGACACTGAGCCATTAACCACAACTTTTTGAGTGCAACCATCCAACCAATTCCTTACCCACCAAGTGGTCCATCTGTTAAATCCATGTCTCTCCAGTTTGGAGACAAGGATGGCATGTGGGACAATGTCAGATGCCTTGCACAAGTCCAGGTATATGATGTCAGTTGCTCTTCCCTTATCCACCAGTGCTGTCACCCTATTGTGGAAGACCACCAAATTTGTCAGGCGTGATTTGTCCTAACTGAAACCGTGTTGGCTCTCACCAGTTACCTCCTTATTTTCCATGTGCGTTAGTATAGCTTCCAGAAGCATTTGCTCCATGATCGTGTTATGCACCAAGGTGAGACTGTTCCTCTGGGTTTTCCTTTTTTCTCTTTTTAAAAATGGGGGTTATGTTTCCCCTTTCCAGTTAGTGGGAAGTTCACCAGGCTGCCATGACTTTTCAAATATGATGGGTAATGGCTCAGCAACTACATCCACCAGTTCCTTCAGGAACTGCAGATGTATCTCATCAGGTCCCTTGCACCTGTAGGTTTCTTAGATTATCTTGAACCTGCTCTTCTACAGAGGTGGTTCTCCAGCTCCCAGTTCTTGCGTTTGCCTTATGTGACTTGGGCAGTATGGCTGGAGCACTTGATGGTGAACACCTAAACAGGAAAGTCCCTGACTACTTCAGCTTTCTTCATATGCCAGGTAGCCAGGTATCCCATTTCCTTCCAGAGAGGAAATTTTCCCTTTCTTCCTTTTATCACCAGTGTACCTACAGAAGCTTTTCTTGTTGCTGTTGATGTCTCTGGTCAGATTTAATTGTGTCTTATCATATATATGTGTTTGGCTGTTGCTTCTATCCATGCCAGCTTGCTTTGTAGGTTAGAACCCATATGCCATATTTCTGTGTGTAACTTGCTAGCATTTATCACATAATGTCTTTATGTTGCTGGTTACACTTGAAAAGGCTTTTCTAAAGTTGAGTTTGATATTAAAAAATACATACATTTACTTGCTTTCTGTATCAGAATATGAGAAAGATATTCTATAGAGAGAAAGCATTCCTGCAGTTGTATGCTACATGAAAACAGCTGATGCCCCTAAGCACACAATGACAGGAAATTCTTTCTTGATCCTATTGTGAGCATTAAATCTTGGGATTTGAAAAGCTCTCTATAACTCTAAAATCAGTAGAATTATAGGTTATATTTATATTCAATATTTACAGAATATATTATCAATTTTCGTATTCCAGCTTTACATTGGAATTTATGCACTGGCAATCTGTCAGTGACTAGAATTTGTTTGGTTTGTAGATCATTAAAAATAGTTTAACTACACCAAGTTCTAAAAATTTTATTTCCTGACGTAACAGTACATGATGTGTGCTACATGTGGAAATGACAAAATTTTATGAAATTTGTCTTTGTGGTCAAATTAAAGCTTTTCTATATTCTTATGTGTTATTTCAGTATATGAATTTATAGGAATCACTGAATTTATTTTTCAAGATTTTTTTCCCTGTTGGCTCAGTATTGCAGCACCAAGAGAGTGCTAAAATGCTAGTGTGAAAATCAGGCCTATACAAAAGGTAGTGAGGATTTGTGGCACACTGCGCTTGGCAAGGCAAGGGAAACGTTCAGAGGTTTTGACTTCTTTGAATCTGGAGGTTGATTACCTTGAAAATGAGAAATGGGTTATGCCTGAAGCACTTTTAAGTAAGCCCCTTCTAAGAAGAGGGGAGTGAGTAGAGAAAATGGGAGATACTTTCTTTCTGGATCTTGTTTTGAAACTGATTTGTATTTGTACTTCAGTGGAATTGATTCTTTTTGCAGAACACAAATGTTTGTAAGAAGTATGTCTCGGTTCTTCACAAGACACTTACTGAGCTCTCAGCTTTTGCAAAAAGTCCACACATGTGTACATATAATATTAAGTGAAAGGTATTAGATACAGACCACTCAAGACCAAATTTTATCGTATGTTTAGAGTGAAAAGCAGTTAAACTTCAGAAGAGTTTCCCTGCCATGGTTGCAGTACATGAAGTTGAAATTCTTCTTGCAGATGGGCATACTAGTTCCAGGTCTTTGCTTAGGTCAGTACTTTGATGTAACATAAACTAGGGGAAGTGATCAGGCTAAATAGTATGCAGCTGTATGCTCATAAATCTTAGTATGTTACCTAGAATAAGTTAATCAACAGTCATTTTCAGACTGTTGCCAAATGCTACATATTATAGAAATTAAGGGGGGGGGGGGGAGGAATTCACTCCTTTTAAAGGAAAAATCTTCATGGTACTGTCGGAAAAGAAAATAATTCTGTTACTTACAAACCTGAAAGCAAAGCTTTCAATGATTAGGGACTTTTTACCAGTGTAAAGCTAGAGATGATGCACAAAAAATAATCCAGGATATAGGAATGTCTAGTTGTCTGCTTTGTTTTTTATGAAATAATTTGTGTCAAAAAGGATGACATGAACAGGCACCACTCTAAACTTTTCTTGTTAGCTAAAATGTGAAACAGGTTAAGAATATTACTGGCCTAACACTGTGTAAATTAAAAGGCAGTACACTGCATTCGTTGTTTAGCACTGCATATTAGGAAAGTCGGAAGACAAATTAGCCTGCTGGAGTGCCTTTCTCTTTCATGAGACTTACCAGTGGGACACCTGAGGATCTGAAAAGCACATTATGGGTTTTCTTTCTGTTAGCCAAAAGCACCTCACCTCAGTTCATACAATTATGTAGCTTTTATAATAATTTAAAAGGCAGATCTAGTGTTTATGTTGGAATACTAACTCCTGCATGTTGATGAAGATGGTAATTGTTGTAAACCCTGCGGTTTTTGTGTTTTATGTTTGAAAAGAAATTTTAAAAAGTTATACCTTTAGCAATCTCAACAGTAGTACCTCTTTAAAAGTGACATATGGGATCTGGTTCAACTTCATAAGTCAAGTAAGCATCTTGAAGTCACTGGATTTACAGATACAAAGCTGACTGGAATTTTAACTTCAAAAATGAATATATGTTTATATATAAAAACTATTGTAATAAAAAAATGTTTTCTTTCAGCTGCTAACCTTCATTGCCATTAGAAGCAGAAAGTGGATGGAGATAGGTACTCACACTTATTTTCTAGAAAGAATTCTTATCTCAATTTGGAGACTAACCTTCATTGTTTATATAACAATTTATATTGTTTTTAATTCAGTGGAATTATGCAAGACATAGTACTATGCCTACAGAGTTAAAAATGAGCATTCTTTTATAGTAGTTTGTACTAATTTCTGCCACACTTCTAGTAGTAGGCAGCTACATGTTAAAGAACTTACATGAAAGCTGCTTTAAATTACTTTAATCTGAGCTCCCTTTTCTTTTAACAGCAGTGTTCAGGGTGTTCTGATTAGAAAAAAAGGCTTCAGATGTATTTCTTAGGACCAGGAAGGGAAAACTCTGTTACTGTTTTTAGTATTGGCACTGTTAGATTGAAAACTGTGATTTTTTTTTTTGTTGTTGTTGTGTTTGGTTGGTTCAAGACATATTGAACGTTTCTGTGTTCCCCCTCCGAAAAATGTACTGCTACTTTATTCCCCAGTTAACTGATTCAGTTCCTTCGAAGTACTTGTTGAACTTCAGTCCATGCTACGTCTTTTACATCTTATTTTGTACTTTTTAGTGCTCCTTACAACAGAGTTCATAAAAAGCTTGTCTCTGAGATGCTGAAAGGTGGGTGAAGTGATGGCACTGACTGTGCTCACCACCTTGCGTATTGGACCCTTATATTCAAACTATATATAACAAACCGTTACCTTGGCAGTCATTTTCAAAACAACTCTGATAAGGATATTGCTGCAAAACATTCTTCATATTTAGCCTCCTGGTTTTAAGCATTTCTACCTTTTTATATTTTGTTAGAGGTGTCTTCATATCTGTATTACCACAGTATCAGTGTCATTGCTGAAAATATAGGATTTGTAAAACGTGATAGCTTATGCAATATAATAAAAGTTCTTAAAAGTCATCAGTGTGGAAGCTGCACAGGTTTGTTTTGCTCCGATATAAACACACCTGCTGTAATACATAAATACATTTGCTTCCACCCGGCTACTACATCCAGCCAACAGCTCCAGTAGGTTATGGAGAAGAAACTGGTGTAAGTACATGTTGCCCAGCCTTCGGCCTAGATTTTCATTTACAGAAATCACGGCTGCGCCTCACACTAAAGTAGGACCGTGCAGTTATGGAAAAGCGGCCGCCCGCAGAGGTGCCCGTAGGCGCGCCTGCCACTGAAACCGCGAAGCGGCACTGCTAGGCTGTGTAAGGGCGACCTGGCCGCTCCAGCTCCTCCAGCTGAGGAAAGGCCCCCCTGGCCAAGCTGCCCCGCAGCGTCGTCCCGCACCATCAGCGATGGTCCCGCCCCTGCTCGCCTCCAGCCGCAAGAGGTACCCAGCTCCGGCAGGGCGCTGCTCAGCGCCCGGTCCTGCCGCCACATCCTCAGCTCGGCGCTCTCACCCTCCGGCCGCATGGCTGCGGGCAGCGCTCGAGTCGCCGGGTCCCTATGGCAACGTTGCGGCCGCCATTATCAGAGGCCCTTCCGAAGAGCAGGCCGACTTCCCCGTGCCTTCGCTCCCTCAGGCAGGCTCTGCCGCAGTCGCCGGGCCCAGCGTGGGCTCCCAGGGGCTGCCCACAGTGTGTCCCAGCGTTGGCCCCCTAACGCCACGTGTCTTTATTACGTGCTTTTTGTAAAGCAAAGCAGTGAAGACATTTACCAGAGGCGGGTTTCTGTACTGTGTCGCAGGCAGTAGGGGGAACTGTTGCACTTTCTGATCATCTTAATTTCATGTTAAGTATTTCTGTGAGTTTTCCAAAGAATCTAGTTACGAATCTTGTCAGAAAAGTCATTTGTGTAGTTTGTACTGGAGCGTAAACAGATATAATGTGGTAGTGGAGGTCTAACTCCAATTTATGTTTTTTTGACCTTTCTGGCTTGTGCTGGGTTTCTCTGAAGTGGCATTTTATTTCAGAGGTGGCTAAGCCGTGCTAGGGAGCGTTAGAAATGGGGCAGAGCTCCCGGAAAGCCGGGAAGAGTCAGCAGAGGAGCCCTCGGCGGTGCTGGGGAGCTGAGGTGTGGTTATGTGAGGGAAGGCAGTGGGAGTCAGGGGCCTGGCACCGTGCCTGGTTGAAATGATGCCCGCTATGCCACGTGGTGAAGGAAAAGTGTTGAAGAAGCTCATCTAGCTGCAGGATCCTGATTCGGATCAGTCCAGAGGTGAGAACAGATAGAAATAGATAGTCCAAGGTTAGAAAGGTTATTTTGAATGGTAGGAATGTTTCCTTGTTTTCCATGCCTTGTCTGTTTAGACTGAGCCTCCCTCTTAAGGAGGGAAGAGTTCAGGGCTCAGTATATATTGATAGTGACACAGTGGAGTCCTTATCTTCCTGCTTTCTGCTTTACTAATAATTATTAAGCAATGCTTGTAAGTTTGGGATTTGAATTTGTTCAACAGAGCAAAACTTGGATGAGATGATTCTTGAAGTCCTTTCCAGCCTGGTATTCTGTAACACTGACTTCTGTGAGCTTCCAGAATTGAATAGTTCTTTATGAGTAAAGCTACACTCGTGCCAATTTCTGGCAAACATCTGCTAGCTGTGATTTCAGAAGCTATAAATATAAGAAAAAATATCAAAGACCCCAAATCAGAAAATCCTGCTACCTGCTATCACAGTCATGAAGCTTAGGTTCTGACAGCTGGAGTGGAGCACAGCATTGATAAATTGGGGCAGATCTACAGTGGAACACTGCGTGTTCAGTCTTGTCAATAATCTTGTATGGATATTACTTGAAGATAAGATATTTTTAAATAATATGAGGATAATATTTACTCTTGCTAACATTCTTATATTGACACAATCAGCATGCTTCAGCATGATTTTCTGACTCATGAATTAAACGTTCGCATACTGTTGTTTAAGAGGACTAAGGTTCTGAGTATGAGACACAAAACTGTATTATCTATTACCACATATTAATGCTGGTATAGGGGTAACAGAACCCCCAGCAGATTGAAATTGTTTCAATGAAAATATTTTGAAGCACTACAGTTGATGATACCTCACCCAACAATTGCAGATATGGGTTTTTTTCTTTCAGCTACCTAATGTGGGTATGATAGATTTTTTATTATTTTTTTTTTCCCCTTGAATCCATCTCCAGTTGAAATGACTGGAAATGTTCCCTGTTATGTCAGTGGAGATACTGAAAAATAATCTGTTGAACTGGTGTTGTCATATCCACAAAGAGCACATCAAAAAGAAGAATTTGGCTTCCTGAATCTCTGCTCATAGTCTTTTCAACTGTTTGTTGTCATTGTTTTATTTTTCTAGCAATCATAGGAAAAAGTGCCTTTTTTTGCCTTTTTTAAAATATATGTATATTTATTTAATTGTATTGGTGCTGTTTAACTGGTTCTGTAACTACTACTAACTAGTGCAAGGTAAATTTAAATTTTACCAATCTAAACCAGCATGATTCTTCTTAAAAGCTTAGTATACTAATGCTGTTTACAATATCTGGGAGGGCAATAAGGATATTATCCTAACATAACCTGCAAATATGTTTTTTATGAGGTATGGGTTTTTTTTGGGGGGTCAGTCTATGATCTTCCTTTACCACCATTTGTCTAGACAGCCTTGCAGGTAAACAAAACCCCCAGATGAACTGTTTAGTGGGAAACGTTTTATATAATGTTTTATACAATACATGGCCTTTAAGTGTTTGTTTCAGAAGTGGAACAGAGAAATAATCACTAAGAAAAATTTATTTTGGCACCAGAAAGTGAAGTAATCTTGATACATACTGAGTCACTTCAAGTGATATGAACCTAAATTTACTGTGTGGTATATAATTCTTCCTCTCTACTTTTACTGCAGTACAGTATGTACAAATGACATTGTCTAGCAGGGACTCTGATTTGCAAAAGTATGTTTTTAATGACATTACAAAGAGATTAGTATTGACAGGTTTTTATATATATTTCCTATGTGGAGCCAGCTCTTCCAGCCCATTTCCTTCAGTGATATCTGGAGAGGATCTGATAAGCTTTACACTGCATTTCACAGGTCAGAGGGCATTGCCTTCCCCTTCACTCCAGCTGTCAACAACAAAGTCAGACATATGTTAGCACCATCACACAGGAAGCTGTGAGCCTGATCGTGCTCAACAAAGTACAAATACAGGAAGAGTGTCAGGTTAGTTAAAAGCTGCTGATGCTCTGCTAAGGTAGTATATAGCTAATAGTACTATAACCCAACAATGCTATTCTGTATGCTATGTATGTTTCAGTATCAGGGAGGGCTGTTTGTGGTTGATTGGTTTAATGCTACTACAGCATACGCACAGGTATACATTTAAAATATATTACAGGTGGTATTGTATCCTGAGGTGGAGATGCATAATGTTGAAAGAATAATTACTTACTCAGCAAAGAGCAAAGCTGCAGTGGAATTACGTGATAATGAACATAATATGTATCTGAACAGATACAATTTCACACTGTTGATTAACAAACAGGATGTGATTTGCCTTAAATTTTCTCTAGATTCCCTCATCTCAACATATAGTATGTTGTATGTCAAATTATAATGATGTACAATATATTAGCAAGCTCATATCATAAAATGCTGTGAGGCATGACATCTCAGAGTTGGTAAATGTAGGTTTCACACTTCTCTGTAGTTTTGGAATGTGAAAACAGTTTAATGTGAGCTTCGTATTTTCAGCACTGATAGCTAGTATTCTGGAGCCAAGGTCATTAGTGATAAATTTGGATCTATTAGCAGCTTGTCTTCTGCTTCCGGTATGTTGTTTAGTGCTTCAGGAAAGTCTTCCCAATACCTCATACTAGTTCCCATCCTCTGGCTTTTGTTCAACACAGAACAAATCAGGTCAGGCACACTGAGTTCCAGCTCCTTTCTCTAAGGACCAGTTGAAGCTCTACTACGATGTACTGTTACCACCTGGAATTGCTAGGCCACACCATTAATAACACATACAGATATCTGCAGGAGTAGAGCACTGTAGTAATAGACTTAAGCTCACGACTTGTTCATGACTTCAGGAAAGGGAGAAGTGGGGGTCTTTTTTCTAGTGACAGTGCCAGTGAATGCAGCAGTGCATCAGTGAACTTACTGCAATTTGTCCCATCTCTATTCATTATACCTTTGTTTTCACACCTTCAGTGGCTATGCCAAGAGTTAGTGTACTTCCAGAAAGGCCCTTAAATGGTTTGCTTCCTCTGTTGAGATCACTAGATTACTTTAAATGTGAAACTAGCACTTGAGCTTTAGCCATCCAGAAGTATAGCTCCAGCATCTGGTGCCAAATGTCCACACTGGAGTGCTGTGTTGATGGAAATAGTAAGCAGATATGAAAGTCTTGTGAAGACTTGTGATGGTGTGACAGATGAGGACATAGGACTGTGTCATAACTCAAACCCACTGTTCTGACTTCCTAGTTTGCCTGTATGTCTAGCAGGGGACACCAAGAGCAAGAAATGATGCATTCACAGCAACTGAAGCTCAGAGACTACAGTAAAGCTTTTCATCTGCCCCAGGGGTTCACTGTTGAAATGTAATTCCTGAGATACAAAGTCTGTGAGTAGTTTCACATATGTATCTAGATAGATGCAGATAGAGGGATATATCAGGCCAGGTCAAATTTTAATAGGCATTTTGCCACATATGTTCTTCCATTTTTAGGCCCTTACCCTTCTGCAAATCATGTTTAGGAAGCTTATGCTAGAAGTGCTCTGATTAAAGAGAAGTTGCTAATATTATGGTGGTCATGAAAGCTATGTTATTATGTGCCACCAGAACAAGAATTTATACTAAAACTGCTTTTTATATCCAAGAGTGATTTTGATTATACCTGAGTTTTTGCATGGCATGGAAGAATTCCTCTATGTCATAAAGCAGGTGGAGCTGCTTTTTGTATCCTCTGCTTGAGGTGTAGTAAGGCATACCAACAGCCTTTAAGTGACCAAGGCGGAAGGAATTCATACCGGCTCATAAACACTTCTTGTTCTTATCTTGTGCGGTTTTATCTGACGGCTGCCTTTCTGTCTAGGTTAAGACAATAGTGACTAAAGGAATTCATGATGACTGTTACCCGAAGTGCAAGCCGAAACAGAATAGTGTCACTGTACTGTTGTTGCTTTTATTCATGTGACATCTGTTACAATGTTGGGAAAAAATCAGCCAAAAATAATTCAAAATAAGTTACTTTGTTTCAGTCTCCTGATCTCTGTAAATGTATTTTATTTGAATAGAAGCTGCTTCAAACAGCTTCTGTTACATTGTGAAACTGTACTTGTTTTCTGATCATTTGTCACAAGAGGGGGTTGGAGTTCTTTTTAGTTCGTAAGAGCTGACGTTCAGCTTTCACTAGGAGATGGTGTTTTGGTTGTGTTTTTTCTTTTTTTTTTTCTGAGGATAAAAGAAGTCCTCATCCTGGGCTTATTGTTTTTAAATAATTACTGTTTTTAAATAATAAATATAAAATTATTGAAAAGCCTAGGTCAAAACAATGGGCAGTAAGTAAGAAGTTATTCCATGCTGGTTTTTATTTTGTATTTCAATGGCAAATATAGTAAAAATGATGATGTAAAAAGCATTCTTGGGCATGGTCATACTGTTAAGCAGTGACATTCATAGAATGGGAGCTGGGAGGAAATCTCCGTGAGAAACTTCTTATCTTTAGGGAGCCATCACAAGGTGAATCAAAATTATCGGTTAACCAAGCTAAAGTAAATGAAATGGTGACTGTTTGTCTGCCTGTGACACTACCCCTGTTTATGCTGGTATCTGTAGAAAGTCTCTCTTCTTGTTTTGTGGTAAAAGGACCAATATTATTGCCCCTGTTTCAGAATCCTCACCGTGAACAGGTTTTGGAAAAAGTAATGATGGACTTTTAGGTCCATTTTATTTCCTGGATAATCTCTTAAGAATCTGATAAGTTAGGGGATTTAGTACATCACTGGCTCATTCATTCACTTCTAAGCATGCAGAATCCAGAAGGAGGAGTGCATTCTTGGAAATGCTTGGGAAAAAGCATAGACAGTGTTATGA